TAGTTCTTTTCTTAAAAAAAGAACTGCTAATCTTTAATTGGGTATAAGGTACGCAGCCACTGCGGCATGTCAGATGTCAGTACTGCTGTGCGGGTGCTGTCACTTAGCTTAGTTTTTGTGTACATGCGTTTTTTTGAGAACAACTTCCTTTCTCTTCCTTCCTCTTTCTCTTGCTTGTTGATTAAAGAATAGCTGAACTTCCTAAGCTGTGCTGGGACGGGTTTGAAGTCTTCGGACCTAGCTGGAGGGTTTTGGGCAAGACGCCAAGGTTGGCAGCTTTCTGTTTTGTGAAATGAGCCTAATGTGCGGTCTGGGTGCCGACAATGTCACGGTACCTTCAGTTTGTGAGACTCCTTTGTAATATCATTTAGGTATCTAGAGCTCTGATTTTTGCAGCAGCTGTTGCTGAAGAAAGAAAGTGAAGGAGTGGGTGGGATGCAAAAGTGCCATTTCTTTCCTTTTCTCTGCGGCACCACTGTGGGTATGGCTCCTTTACTGGAAGTGTGAAGCATCCAGGCGTATTTTCTACATTCACTTGTTTAGACTAGGAGGATTTGCCTCCTGTTGTTTAATGTGTTGTTTTGGGTGTAATTGTGACTCTACTGTCTGGTAGTTGCTGTAGGAGTTGGCAGCTGAGTATCCTCAGAATGGTAGTTAACCTCTAATATGGTCAATTAACATATATTCGGTAAGCGCTTGATTTCTATGAAGATCTGAGGAATATGTCTGACAAATTTAAGCCCTCTGCTTGTTCCTTCCATGGATTCTAGTAACAATAAGGGGATTAGCAGGGTCCCTTATTTCCCTACCCACTTCAAACAGTATGAAAGTGTTTCTTCTCAATATCATGAAATGCTAGGGGTTTTTTTCCACCTTTGGATAGCAGTTTTATGCAGCTGTTTCTACAAGCTATGCCAGAAAAAGTGTGGTACAAAGGACGTGATAAACAGACACTTCTTTTGTTCTCCTTTTCTCATGCAGCCCAAGACTCATGTTACCTTAATGCTCTCGGGCACCAAATAAAATATCTGTTGCCTTCATCCTTAGCTCTAGGTACAGGACAGACCTTTTACAGGTAGGTTGTTGCTCCCTGGGCTGCAGCTGTCTCTGCCAAGCGACTGCACGCTGGTGACTGAGAGCCTGGTGACCGGGCTTCTGTGGTTCTCTGCCGACTCTTTTATATGTGTGTGCTTTCTGTAAATTTTTAATGACGTTGTTCAGGCAGAGGTTTGTTCTCGGTGTTAAATGTTAATGTGTCAGGTGGAGGTTAAAACTAATTTACGTGTTTGATGGTACTTGAAGTTTGTTTATAAAGATTTCCTTTTGAGTATTTGGCTTTTTAGGGATAGAATATTTGCTGTGGAACTTGGATAGAGTTTGGGATATGGGAAGCAGACTGGAAAAGAAGTACATCCCCCTGGATTATAATATCCCTTACATCTTTTTAGTACTGAGAAAAATGGATTAATGTGTGACACAAGTAATTAAAATTAATTTTTTAAAGTCTGTTAAGCGCGTGTTTCTGCTATAAAGGAAGCCTGTCTGACCAGGAGGAGCCAATCTACAGCAATATCGAACCCTCACATCTTCAAGCTGTCTGCTTTGAACACACTAAGTGCTCTAAACATGCACAACCTGAAAAGCAGGCCCCAAGTATTTCAGTTTGGGCATCATAAATGAAGGATTTGGCCTTTATCTCTCCTTGCTTCAGATGGCTTGTTTGCAGAAGGAAGACTCGATGCCTTAAGGGACTGCTGTGAAGATAAATACAAGCATTGGAATTCTGTCACTTCAGTGCCACAGAACCTTTTTCTTCTCATGTCCTCCTCCCAGGAGAAAGCTAATGCATTTTGTATGTATTAGCATGGTATGTGGTAAATGAGAGCCACAAGTGACATACTGAATAAAGATGTGCTTAAAAAAACCAAAAAACAAACACACACAAACAAACAAAAAAACCAAACAAAAAACCCCAAACAAACCAAAACACTTGTCATAGTCTTGGACTATGTTCTTGGCATGTTAACTGAGCTCATCATCACAAAACAGTAGAGACCTTGAGAAAATACTGTAAATACGTGCAGAGAGGTAAATGTAAAGTTCTGGGTTTCTCTTCCTCTTTGGTGCATTTGTTTCTTATATCAGCAGGGGTGGTAAGACAGTTTCCCACCCAGACTTAGGTCTCATCCTTCCAAGAGTTGTCTCCTAAGATCTGTGAAGTACACTGTTACTTCAGAAAAAATACAGTAGCGGCATGAATGTAAATTACAGGCTGGTCAAGCTATGGGTCACTGGAGAGTGCAACAGTTCATGTTTTGTCTGCTCCCAAAGTAGTTTTGCCCACAGGAATAAATGTAACAAGGGGTGGAGGAGTACAGGCAGCTGAGAGGTATGCAGGACGTAAATCCATAGGTACAGAGTATAGTGCAATGGAAAGTGGAGGCAGATAGGTGCAGGACTGTCAACAGAAAGAAATGCTGGTTACTGGAAGCAGCTAGTATCTGTCCTGAAAAGACTGCATCCCTTCCTCTTAATGATCATGATGATCCAGATCCCGTGTCTCCATCCTCCATGCTGTATAAATACACAAGGACATTATAACCAGCGTGTACTGCTTCAGTCTCTGCATGCATCCCCTTTCTATTACACTGATTGATGTGACCAAAATTGCTTCATCATCTAAATGGATTAAGCACCTGCTGCCTTTGAGGTGCATATTGAGAGCCCACGTCTAGTGCAGGTGTTGCTGCAGCCTGTTTCTGGGCAGTTACACTTGCATTGCCATCATCCTCTTCCTCAGGTGACTTGCTCAAGGGTGAAGGGTGCCCATCAGTGAGGCAGGGTGTTAAAGGATCGGCCGTGGAGCTCCAAAAGGATGTATTGACACGTGATGACTGATGGGGGCTTCCTGTGTTTATTTGCATGTGAACAGCAAATATATTCCAGAAAACTTCCAAGGATATCTGATTTATGGTTATGGATAGTGGTGACAAAAAATGGTGAACGTGATCTTTATTTAAATAAGTCACCATCAGGATCCCATGACTTGCAGTCCCTGAGTTGTCTTGCCGCAGTCCTATTCAGACCATAACGGTATTTAATGTCCTGCCTCAGTTTCACGTAACATTGGGTGGTAATTTCTTAAGGAAAAGCCACAGGTTGCTTTCTTGGAGGGTTAAATGGTGGTGGTGGTTGTTAAGTTGACAAGCAATACTCACCAATTGACAGTACTTCCACGGTGGTCTTGATCACTAGAGTGACCCTATTGTCTTCTGGTAAGAAAGGTAGAAAACAAGTTCATTCTTTCTTCATGCTGAAAGTGTTGATTTTGGTTTCTTCAGTTACTCTGTCATTCACGGGTTAAAGGCTCTTGGAGGCTGCCTGCGGAGGCATCATGTGTTTCATAATACAAGTTGACATGTGTTTTTTTTATTAAGGTACTGTGAATGTCTTAAAGCAAAGCACAGTGCCATTATGTGATTTAATTTGCCATTGTGATGTCCCTTCTAAAACAAGGGCTTCTTTTTATGAAGAGTGTGTGTGTGATGCTTGTTATTCCTCTTTGTAGGGGAGTTAAGTTAGTAGCTTCTTTATCATCACTATTGGGAGTAATGTCTGGTGTTTTGATGTTGGGGTTTTTGTTGTTGTTTGTTTGTTTCTATTTATTGCTTTCATGTTCCTTCCTCCCCATTCTGTTCCTTCTTACAGAAGAGGTAGTGAACAGATTGTTAGCACTTACTCTTGGGACTCATTTTAGTTCAAAGTTACTGTATTTACCCAGATGTAGGGGAGCAAATCTACAGCAATATCAAAACGCAGGGTTTTGCCTTTTTTTTTTTTTAACTTCTCCTTCCATATTTTGTTTTCATGTTATAATAGTGAGAGGTAAGATAGATATTACAGGAAAAACTGGGAAAAAAGGTTAGTTTTATTGCTAACTTCTGAATACTGACTATTGCAAAGTTGTTATGCTGCTCAAAAATGAAGGTCTTACCGATGTTACTTAGTTTTATGTTCTAGAGCTCTTGATGGAGGAGGAGCATTGGAGCCTTCATAAAGAAAGGAAATAAAATCTACTAATTTCTTTTGAGGGTTCAACACTGACAGGAAAACAGGCTGCCAGGAGCTGGAAGGTGTTTAAAAAACCAAAACCCACCAAAAAACCAAACCCACCCCTGAATTAATGCTTGTCTTCCTGTAAGAAGGCTTCACAGGTAATGTCCAAGGGAGACCTCCTCAAATGAAGCTGATGCAAGTAAAATACTGCTGTGTAATTACAGATATTACTGAGTTGAGCTACTCCCTGTTAATCACATTTAATTAATATAACCCAGTTGCAAGGTGATTTATGGGTGGTTTGATTAAGTGCGTAAGATCAGAAGGACTGGTTTTCTGCTCTCTGTGACAGAGATACTATGTAGTCACTTTTTATAAGATGATGGGAATCCATCCTAAAGCAAGAGAATTAATGGACACAGTGGATTAGGAGGTTATGGGAATTTTCCGTAGCTCCTGAAACTGTCTGCTTCGGCATTTCCTTCTGCGGGGGCAGGGGGTTCAGTCTCGTGTTGTCTCATATTCCCTTTTTGAATGTTAGAAGGCTTAAAACAGACTCATTTGTACTTGCATGTTCGGTTACCTTTTGACTTACTGCTATGGTACAACAGTTTTATAAATTTATTTGCTATTATATGCTGTATAGAGCATTCAGGGTACTGAATTTGGAGAGCGTATTCTGGCATTCTGTTGGTCTTGATCTGTTGTAGGGAGGCACGTGCTTGGAAACTGTTTCAGCAGAGGTGAGTGGACTTGTTTCTGGAGCTCTAGAGTAGAAGAAAGGGTAGCTGAGAATCATGAAGGTGTTCTTGAAGGAATAAAATAAGTAGATTCATATTTGTGTGAGACAGACTGTTAGAGATTAATTCACATGGTACATACTCAATTTTCTCCAAACTGTACCGTGCTTGTTACTAAATATTTTTTTTTTCCTTCAGTTCTATAGGTGGTACTGGTGCAAAAACAGTTTAGCAATGGATCAAAGGAAAAATGACAGTTTTGTTCCAAGTATCACGCAGCTGGAAGACTTCCTAACAGAACATGACTCCAATGTCGTTTGGCTGTTAGTAGGTAAGGTGAATCTGTTCTGGTTTGTTTAAAAGGTTTTTGTGCGTGTACTTTTAAATGTGCTTCTCTCAATACTGGCATACCAATATCAAATTTCTTACCAAATTACATCAAAACATTGGGAAGAGATTTGTATTTGTCATACAGCTGTTTAGTGGGGTATGGCAATGCTACTTAAGTAAATCAGAAAGGAAAACATAAGGAACAGTTTCCAATACTAATTGTGCTGCAAGACTTGGCAGAAAAATCCAGTGTGCAAAGGATGATGCTCTACAACCACAACTCTGCAAAATAAGATTTCAGTGAGAACTTACTTCCATAAAATATGGCTTTTTTCTGACACCAGGGTAAGCTGGTGATTAATTGTAGTAGCGTCACAAAGGGTTAGCATTGTACCACAACAGGCAGATACAATAACTTTGATATACCACTACGTACATACCTGCCATTTAATATGGTATAGTTTGAAAAGTGATATAAAGACTTGTTGTGTTTAATGACATAACTCCTAGACTAAATTGTGTGCCACAGTAAGCCTTTAAGCCAAACTATTGTGTAGTTGATAATGGGTGGGTTTTGTAACCGTGCCTGATTTAGGTATGCTGATTTTTTTATAACAGTAGTGCTATTGTTTATATTTGTGTAGGTACTTTTATTTTCTGATTCTATGAACAGGTGAGTCAGGGACAGCAAAATAAAAATTAAGCTGTATTCAGGTCCAGATGAGAGTGCTAGAAATGTGTGACTAATTTGGACTTTTCCAAAGGTAGATAATGTCTGCTTTTCAACCTTGATTCTTGGACCTGGAGTGAAAGGCAGCACAGGGAAAAAAACCCTATTTTTTCACTTCTGGGAAGTTAAGGCATGTCTGTTAGCTATCGACATACTGGAATTGTTTTCCAGTAGGCCAAACTGAATGAAAAGGACATGGGCAAATTAGCTGAGGGTGCTTTCTGAATATGATTTTAATATGTTGACATGGACAGTTCATACTCAATATAAAATTCTAAGTGAAATCAAGATGAAAATAAGGAAAGTCACTATGCTAAAGTGTGAAACAGATGCGGAACAGATCTGAAAAATTTGTCTCTGGAAGCTTTGACTTGAGACTTAGAGATGTTCAGGTCTTTCACCAGAGAATAAAAGTGTCAAATTGCAGCCTGCAGAGTTTTCTTTCTTTTTTCCCTCTGCACTGGATTCTTACAGCAAACTATTAGTAGTTCTGCTTGGAAAGTCTGTGGGATATAAACAGTTCCATGTAACAGCTATAATTTAAACCAAAAGCTTTGCTGAACTTTCTTATTTGCTTGAATATGTGAAACTTACACATTTCTGTTTCACAGAAGGGTGGGTGGAACTTCCAGAACTTATATAGTTCATCCCCTTTTTCTATGGGCAGAATGACCTATACACAATTGTGCAGTTTTGGGGAGCTGCTGATCTCTTGAGTTGTAAGAAACCACCCGGCATTCTATAAACAATGACACAAACAACAGAAAAAGCTGGGTAGCCTCCTGTTGTTATGAGGTTTGGATAGAAAGATATTGAAGTAATATTTATTAACTAGCCCAATTTCAGCCAGCCGTTCTTCCTTTGCTTTTGTCTGCTGACCTATGGCATCCTGTTATAAGAGGAGAAAAAAAGATGTCAGTAATTTCTTCTTCTGAACCCTGATCTAGCTAACTATTGATCCCAGTAAAAGAGATGATGAATTCTAGAAATGAGCATGCTCCTCAAAGAGCTGTTGCTCCATTTTAGAATAGTTTCTAAAAATCACATGCAGTAAAACTTTCTGAATGGAATTTCCAAAATGTAGTTTCAGTGATGAGGCTTTTAAAGTCAAGAATATAATAATGAGATAATCAGAGTTTATGGGATCAGTCATTTAATAGCTGAGACTAAATTTGGTGCGGGAAAAGAAAAGGCTACAATTTGTGGCAGAGGTGAGACTAGCGGTAAAGGCAGTGGATTAAGACCGTAGTGCTGGGAAACTGCACTAGTTTGCTGATTTTTCTCGGTATATGTCACCTTCAGAGGGTACCCTCTTGGCCTTGGGTATCTAGAAGTTAAGTGTGTAGTTGAACTTTAATCTCAAATTAAGTTTTATTACTAGAATGAGACTCTTTGAGTGTGAGTCATTCCACCTTTCTCCCTACACTGGTAGAGGACCAGCAGGGAGTTGCTCATTCATCTAAAAATGAGGGGAGGTAAATGCTGTTCTTGGAGGACGCCCTCACTGAGTGCCAAGGGCAGTTTCTTTCCTGGGCTATGCCTTTCACCCCTCCTGCCTTTTTCCTGTGTAGTCACCCACACGGATCTGATTTGGTTTACATGTCAAGCTGCTTACCTGCCTGAGTGTATTGAGCTACTTGGATTTTTACCACACTGGATCCGTTTTCCAGTAAGGAAAAGACGAAGTCATGCAAGTCTTCTCCTCGTCTTTCGGCAAAGCACAGACGTTGTTACAAAGTGGAGCATCCTACTGCAAAAAAGTTAAGGGGCAGCAAAAGGACAGGTTGTTTTTAGAACTTTTTTGTGTGTGGGTTTTTTTTTTTTCTTTGAGTAGTCATCTGAACTCTGCAGGGTGAAGGCTTCGGACCTGTATGCCTTTCTGCACTTCAGATTTCCCGTAAAAGACACAACAAATCTGAGTTTTTCAGTGTGAAGTGTGTACGTAAATGAAAAGCTTCTGTTAAAAAGTTTAGTTAGTATAATACACATACAAAAATACAAAAATGGCTCGCTTTCCTGCTCTGCTTTGGATGAAACAGAATGGTAATTATCAGTAAAGTGAGTTAGAACTAGTCTGTTCTCTGGCAGTCCCATTCCTTTTGGGTTTGTCCTTCTGGAAGCTTTGAGAACCCTTGTAGTTAGAAATAGGTTACTAGCTCTTAATCAACTAAAGTAAAAATTACTTTGGGGATTAGCAGACCTAATTTTTTTATTTTTTTTTCCCCAGACATGTTTCTCACTGGGTTGCCATTGACTTTTTTTCCTATCAAGTTCAGTGCTTGAACTGTGGGCAGATTTCTGCTAACTCAAGGGCTGGTACATTTTTCTCAGGATACAGTGACTTAGGAAACTGTTTCAGATGCGATGATGCTGTTTCCTGTGCTAAGATGTGAAAGACTAGAAATTTAAGTTACAGTTCATGGTTTGGAGAAGGGTGGAGAAGGAATGTAGTATGACTTTTGTTGTGGTGTTTTTTCGGGGCGTTTTGAAATAAAGGACCGTGTGGGATAATGTGTGTTATGATTTGATCTATGAAATTTAACTTCTTGGATGAGAAGGGATGCAATGAAATATGTGTTGCCTTTTGCAGGCCCTCAGGAGGATGTGTTTGGGTTTTTTTTTTCTGTTGGGGAATGGAAGAGCAGTGAAGAATCTATTCTTTTCTGAATTCCCATTTCCCTTTATTTTTCTCCCCCTCTCTTTACACCCTTCTCACACAATCTCTCTGAAAACACCCATTAAAATGTTCCATAAGTTTCAAAATTTTTTTGGATAGTAGGAAGAACGTTCTTGTGGTTTATAGTTTTAATAGGTAAGGCTTTTATCTAGGTCAGCATACTTGAAAAAATATTTTAATTCATTTTAATCTTTCAACAGCAACAATACTGTCTTGTGGATGGATTATCTACCTAACTTATTATAATTCCCGGAACATTGGACTCATTTTAACATTGGTTCTTAACAGATTATATAAACATGGCTACATCCATATTGGTAAGTTATGATTAGTGTAATGCTGCTGTTTATCTGTCGCGTTTTATTGTACCTCAATTTGCTGAAGACTCTTAAGTAAAATCAAAGTGTTCCTTTGTTAAAGTAATTTGAAAATGATCAGCATGGGTTTAATTTAAGAAGAGGAAAAGTTCGGTATCATGCTTTAGGGGAGGATTCTTGGTGTAGGTAGAAAAACACCCCCTTTTTCGTTGAAGTCTCGTTATTTTATATTAAGGTTGACTTGACGGATTTTTTTTAATTTCAAGTCGAGTTTTTTCTGTTTAGTCTGTATACTTTGTGTACTTAAAATCTGTACGTTTTCAATGATCCCTTTTTCAAAGCCCTGTAATCGTGATGCTTAGTGTCCAAAAAGGAGAAGATTGACCTCAGTCCCCCATGGAACCTGCTTGAGCCACTCCTGAATTTACCTTGTAACTTGGTGTTAAGGGGGTGCAGCTTCCCACACTCCCACACCTTTGAGGGGGGTTATATGGGATCTGAAGAGTGGGGAGCAACCGCTGGAGTGGGCTCAGAGGGGCACAGTAGAGTCTCAAGCCTCAACTCCCTGTCATGGCAGCGTCCTTGCTTTCTAAATAAGCTGTCAGAACTACTCGTGTTAATCCATACTGGGACTGTGATTGTATACTGCCTAGAACATTTGCATCAAAATCCATTAACTTTTTTTTTTTTATACTTTAAAACATTTTTTAATAAAACAGGTCAGTACAAATCACTTGGGCACTCACCCACATTACAAAAATATCTGATGCCAAGTCACAGAGGGCTGTATCCCACAACCTCACTCTGACTGCACTTTTAATTTTCTTTCATTTATTCTTCCATGCCTTCCTCCGTCTGCTTCCCGGAATGACGATGACTTTAGTTCTGGAATTTTTCTGCAACTATGGTTCATAAATGTAGTGAAAACGTAAAAAAAACCCAAAACACCAGCCCACCCCTACCTGCCTGCCAAAAAGACCCCTGCAATAATTTGCTTATGTCTTCAAGAATTTAAGAACTGTAATCCAAACCATCTTCAAATCCAACTTTTTGAACAGCAATATAGATGAAATACTTATTGGCTGCTACACTTGATCTACGGGCTTTTATTAAAATTTCTCTGTGAAATTGCTATTAAGTAAAGACAGCTGGACATAGCTGGCCAAATGTATGGTGTTCTTTATAAACTTAATCAGTAAGAAGAACATAACATTAATTAAATCCCACGGTTTACTGCTTGGCTTCAATCAATTAACGTTGATTTTTCTTTTTTTTTTTCTTTAAAAACAAATCATGGTTTACTTAACTTTCTGTGGATGAGGTAAAAAGCCTTAGGAAATATATGGGCTATTGCATTGCCTGCTGGTCTTTCCATGCTTATTAATCCTTCCTGCTGTAAACATAATTTGTCATAATAATTGGACTGAAAACTTTATAGCCATTTAAAATTTGAAAAATCATTTTGTCAGGAGTCTTCATGTCTGTAATTACAGTCTCACATATAATGGCTTGATACTTGCAAATGTTCAAAATAACTTTCCTAACTCTTTTCACAAGCTTTGCAAGGCACCTGGATGTTCCTGTGTGACTAGTGTGTTGGAGTTGGTTGTGTTCTTGGGTGGTGCCAAACCTTTTAGAGTCGCGTACTTTTTGTCTTGTGTGTTCTGAATCACTGACTTCCCTTCTCTGAAAGTCAGTGTGTTTTCAAAGGGAAAATTCAAGATACCCAGTAAACCCATTTTGGATAATTTAATACTATATTCTTCCTGTTCAGAAAATAAAGCATCAACAACTTTAGCCTAACATCTGATAAGCACTTTCTCTCACACTAGGTTCCTTTTCGTTCTCTGTGCTGTCTGGAAAAGTCATGGTCCGTGAAATCTATTTCATCACAGAAGACATGTCTATCAGGTACAGATTTCCAGGGGAGTCACTCTTCTAAATAGCAATTTCATATACAGTAAATGTGTATGTCTAAGTAACCCATATCAAAATACTGTCTTACAAATTAGCAATAAATATATTTATAAATGTTAAAAATATAAATACTCTCTTGATGGTAGTATTTAGACATTCTTAGATACTTGTTAGCTCGTTTGTTGTTTGAGCATTATCACTTGGAAGTAAGTACTGGCTAAGATTCTAGTTGTCTGTGGTTTGAGAAAGAAATCACTTTAGAGTTTGAAGGAGAACTGTTTTTTCATTATGTCTTTCACTCCCTTACACTCCTGCTCTTAAGTCTGGAAGACCCATTTTGGCCAAGTTGTTTGCATTTGTTTACTGGGATTGAGAATAATTTGTTTTGTGAACCGCGCACTAGCGAATAGCTTGTAGTTTTGATTCTTGAAATTTGGAAAGCCTTGAGAAGACGGTGGGTATAGGGTTTTAATGCAGGTTTCAGCTAATGCAGTAACTGTATAGTATTGTACTCTATGCTTGATGCTGTAATGCTTCGTGCGTGAATGGTGCTTGTTCACTGCTGCAGCTGCAGATCCCTGCACTGCGTAAGGCAACATGTCATGCAGCTGGACCCAGGATTTTGGATTATCACTCTCTTAACTTCTGTTTTGTCTAATTTATTTGATTTAGAATTCAAGATGGATTTATCATATTTCGGTGGTGGAAGATGTACAACCCTAAGCAGAAACAGCATGGTAGGTTTCTCAAAGTTTTTGAATTTTAAGTTTACAGGGAGGCTGCAGAAAATGACTTGTTCTGCCCTATGCCGTGGGTGTAATTGATTTGTTAGTATGTACCTGAAGTACGTTGACTCATCAGAAGGTATGGGTTCTTTTAGCTGGTTGATCTCTGGTAGTAGACTAGAACTGCATAATGTAATTAATACAGGATTTGTTAGCAGGGACTTGAACCCTTATTACGACAAACTATTAATCTTAATAGTAGCCTTCATTAGCTGTAGTCTAAGCATAATTGACCCTGCATTGAAGTTTATAACTATGATAAATAGAGACTTCTTATGTTCTGGAAGTGATTTTAGTTTTCAGGTTTTAGCGTGCTGTCGGTATTTTAGCAAAAGTGTTACAGTGGGGGATGTTCTTTAGTATTTGATAACCCTGTGTCTGGATGACATCTGTGGTCATAGAAGTGAGGAAGTGTGAAAAAATTAATTAGTTTTTCTTCCTTATCTCTGGCTGAAGAAGGACGACTAACACCAGATGCAAGAGGTTAATTGTATCTGTGGAAAACACTGTGAGAAAACATAAGTAGCCTAGTGATGTGTGTGCTAAGTCATTTGTACGATTAGAATCTGGTTGAATGAGTCTCGGGTCCTGCCTCTCTTGACTTTTTAAGCATCACAGCTCCACTGCTGATTCAAGGAGATCCAGAAATGGCAACAGTCTGCGATTGAGGAGTGCACTAATTGAGGGAGTGGTTGAACTTTGGAGGGTGCGCTTTTTTTTTTCCCATCTCCCCTTTGGAAGTGGCCTCTGATGGTGTGAAGCCTCTTCAGCTTGTCAGCAAGCTGGTACAGCTGTTGCTTTGTCAGTACTAACTCAGCAGTGGTAGGAGTGCTGCACACACGTTGCACAAGTAAATTAGACACTCTTCTATATAGTGATATGAATTAGGAAGAGTTGATCACTACTTTTTATTGAGGCATTGCTAAGCCTCTGAGGTGATAGGACACACTAGAAGTTCTTTATACCATAAGAAGACTAATTCATAAAGTGGAACCTGGTCTTAGAGTTAATTAGATTTTTCCAACCACAGGTTATTGTCCAACAGGTTTTCACAGAATTTTCTTCATCTGCTAGTTAAAACATATTTCTCTAGTGGCTGACAGAATGAGGAAGTGAATTCAGCTTAATGCAACGAAGATCGTTGTGTCTGTCTCTTATGGTGGTGTTTTTACTTGGCAATACTGCAAGACGTTAACCATTTCTGCTGGCATTTAGTGCTGCATAATTAGTCGACAAATAATCCAGGTAACCAAGGGGGTCAGAGGTGTGTAGGTCTGACAATAAAGTAACGTGAATAAAATACTGTCTTAAATAATTACTCTTTTTCCTAGGAAAAATAACCTTGCTCACTTTACATTTTGATTATTTATCAGAGATGCTTTCATTTTTAACCTTAAAGGAAAAATAAAATCTTCAATGATTCTTAGCCTATTGTAGTATTCTTCCCAATACTTTTTAATCTTCTTGATCACAACGGAACTATCTGTACCTGACCAGGTCGTGAAGGCTGCTGATAAACTGCATCTTAAAGATTTATGTTTTATTCAAGGATTACTCCCTTGCAGTTGTCACACAGAATGACTGGAAAACCTGTTGTATCTAAACATTACTGGTGCATACCTTTGTTTCAGATCCTTCATAAAACACAAGACCAAAATAGAGATGAGATTTTTTTTTTAGAAAAACACATAGGCTGAGTCACTGCTATTAACAATTTAAAAATCCCACCAGATTATTATAAAAACACAAGCCTTAAATACTTTAATATTTTTGCTGGGGAAAAAAAACGCGTCTTATGAAGACTTAGATATAAGCAATAACAACTAGTTCCTGAGTGTTGTGGGTTTTTTGGTTTTGAATTCTGTAACCGAAGTGCAACAGGAATGGGATTTTGTTTCTCCTAGTGCTGATAAAGTTCTGTTAGTGTAGAAATAATGCGACCTTATTCTATTTTTTTCCCGAGAGATATTTAGAGTATTAGAGGAAGGGGTTTTTGTGCACAAAAGGGGAGGCTAGTGAAGGATCCCGAAATACTTGGAGACCTTAATAAGGGAAGTCCCTTTCGGGTCATTTCAGGTGCCTCTTTGGTAAAGGGCTATACTCTATAATCCAGTTTTCACTGGTAAGATTATCCATGTTAAGCGCTATTACTATTGTATGCAAGGAGCTGAACTTCAGCATGGTGACACCTTAAATTTCCTAAAAGCTATCTTTGTCTGTAGTGCAGACACATATAACTCTCTTAGCTTTAGAACACATATGGGGAATATTTCGTTACCATTCCTCTGAGGAGAACTAAGCTATCAAAATTGATGCATTGTTTACTTGCCCACTGGAATCTAAAGTTAATGTTGCTGTAAGACTTGGATGCTGTAATTTAAAGATGGTTCTCCTAAAGACTTAATCACAGTTGCTGCATAGGAGGAGGTTTGAACCACTTGATAACCGGTAGTGGAGTTGCATTTCCTGCTGTGGTTTTTTAAAAGTTCCTCATTTCGACCTAGCAAGTGCAATCTGTTTTACATCACAGCACTATGTTTGTGCTAGGCATGTCATACCAACGTTGAAAGACCTTCACAGAAAAAGTCAAGTATGGAGGTTGTCTTCCTGCCTTGAGTGTTAAGTTCAACCATACTGGGACTTGAGAGTAGGTTTTGTACATACTCGAGAGATGGAAGTGGTTTAGGATCAGAAGTTGGAGGATTATGTTGTGAATAGGGCACACCCAGATGTCTTGGCTTAGGTGCCACAGCAGATTATCAGTTTTCATATTGTAAAATCATATGGTGTAATTTGTGAGGTATTTTTTGAAGGGGAATACTGTTTTGGGAACCAATTCCTCTACTTTTTACTGTCGGGAGTGACTTGTTTTATGTTCCCGTTAGGTTTTGTTGGTGGATATGTTTAGGTTAAATTGTTTGGGTAGGTGTGATTCAAATTAGTAAATAAATAGTACAACTTGATAAAGTGCTGTAGGAAGCAACTGTCAAAACCTTGGTGATTCCAACCAATGTTGATAAAACTTCAGTCTTTTTCTACCAATCTGGGAGTTACTTTTACATGATCTACATCTATGCTGCTTTGAATCGTTTAACTATATGACAGTTGTGCTCGTCTCTTGTTCCTTTTCCTTGCCTTTTTGTTTTTATTTCCCCTTTCCAAAAGTGTCTTAGGCAACCAGCTCGGTGTGTGGAGGTCAAATCTTGTTTTTGCTGTTAGGAAAAAGATAGTTGTCTCTTTAAATCCCCTCTAAAAAAATGAATTACTACACATGATTTAATTTAGTTAATGAAGTCTAGTGCTTGCCTCCAGGAATTGAAAAATTACATTTATTTGTGTTCTTGATGATGCTGAGATCTCCCAGGTGAACAATTGTATATTCCAATCTTTGTCCATGTCATCCTTTGCCTATATCTTATTGGTGCAAGTTAACGTTACCAACGCGTGGATTTGATAGTGCTTTTATGAAAACAGGAAGGAACTGAAGCTGGCCCATTTACTTTTCTGTCTCCTGTTCAGGAAGACTGTGATGTCAGTGCTTTCTGGAGCCTTATTATACATTTACTTTTTTTTTTTATAACAATATGGAAATTTCTGGTAATTTAGTTGTGAAGGGTAAAAGGTGGTTTGCTGTTGTTGGGACAGTGTGTTGTACAGGTGCGTAACATCGGGGGACAGGTGAGTTTGTTAGCAAAGAGGGTGCATTTTATAGAGCAGGTGTCTCTAAACTTTGGCTCTTGGGCAGCTGCATTTCTTCTCTTGACCCTGACCACAACAGCAGTGGTGTTCGCTCTGACTTTTTAATTTCTGGTGTCTGTGGGAAATGTTGCCTTCAGTTTGTACCCCCTGAGTTACAGATTGGGGACTGCTGTAATAACCATTGATGCTTCAGCTTCCTAAAGTCTGTTTGACTTGGAAAGACCAGATCAGGTTTTAGAGCAGCTCAGGTCTCTTGAGTGAATGTATAATGGGCACTCTTTCAACTGGGTAATTAGGGGGAAATTGTGCGAGCTTTTTCCTCACATTAACTACATAATTAGGTCATACTATCTAAGGCAAAAGTATGTCAAAGTGTGTCACAAACAGCTCTGTGTGCAATCAGCAGATGTTAAACTAGTTTTTAAGCATCGGAGAGTCAAGTTGGTATTACAGTTACAATTTTAGATTTGTAAAAATGTTGACCGATAGTGCAAAATGAGTGTGCTTCTTGTTAGTTCTGCATATTAATGTTTTCTGTAAAAGAAAGCTTTTTCCCAGTGCAGGCCTGCTGTACCACAGAGCTTGGCTAGAAAACCTTTTGGTTTTTGAGATTGAATTGGTCTCAAGTACTGGTATCTGTGCTAAAAAGCAGAAGGTGCCACCAAGGCCAATGCTGTGCATCAGGAGGGATTTTTGTTCGTTTGTTTTTTGTATATGAGACTGAGTAAACCTCACTTACCATTTTGTGCAGCTCCTGCCTGGATTTATTTTTGAGTTGTGACCTAAGGGTGAAATGCCTTTCAGGTTTTATATTTTGTATGCAGCTGTCTTATTTGCCAAGTTTTACTGATTTGCTTGGGATGGTGTAATTATTTTGTGGAGTTTCTTGCGGCTTTTTAATATGTACTTCAGCAGTCACTCGCTACAGTGTAGATTGTTTTTGCAAAATATGCGTATGTGAAAAAAACCTGTAAACGTTGCAAGGGAATATTGGAATAGAATTAGAACCTTTTTTTCCTACTATCTGTTTAGATCCAAAGGCAGAAACACGACTGTATATTATGGTGAACGACTTTGAATTTCACGTGTACAACCGTTCCGAGCTTTATGGACAACTTCAAGAACTATTTGGCTTGGATCCCACAATAATTCCAACAAAGAAAGACGATGAAAAAGCACAAGTAAACGGGAGGCAGAGAACACATACCAATCTTGAAAGGTAAATTGCTATTCATTTTGCTATTTTGTTGATCCTTTGTTCTGCAAAGTGCTGAACAAATTGGGTAATGTTTTGTTAACATGTGCTCTGGAGGCCAAAGGGTTGAAGCACAGCTGAGAGAGAAATTGCACTGACAAGCCTGACAGTCTAAATCTTTTTCCTTTCCTCAGACTTCCTACCATAATAATTAAAAAACACGAGCAAACAAACCAAACACTCCTTGTTTAATGATCAGAGACAGGTTGAAAAATCTATGTGAAGTACAATGTGGAAAGGGAACATGTGTTGAAGAGGATTATGCTTGCAGAATAATGATGGTGTTGCTCAGTAGAAGCAATAGCTGCTCAAGATACTGAATAGACGAAATGTGAGGATCTACGTGGTGTTGGGTGGAATTCCTGGTTTTTGAGCTTTAAACTTGGACTGATTTCACAAGTTGTTTTTTAAGGGATGTGCGTTTGTGTATAGCTACACAAACCTTCTTATTTTATTTCTTTTTTTTTGGGGTACCCCAGAAAACCTGGTGCAGGTCTATAAGGAGTTCTTCTACATGGCTTGTGTGTAGCAGAGTCACGTATTCAATACTAAGCCTCTCTTTGGGCAGAATCACACCAGACTGATTTACTGGCAGGAGCAGGAGAAGATCTAATGAGACTTCAGTCCCTCCACTGCTGCTGGCCAGGCCAGTACGTGTGACTAAATTACATAGTGGGCAGCTGCAGGATGCTGTGGCAGTCGTGAGTTCGGGCTGTGCCTCCGAGCCAGTCTCTTCATGTTTTCGTCTTACGCCCTTATTGGCAGGTGTAGGAAGGACTTTGACTTTGGGGAGGACGTGTCTTGGGAAGTGAAATATCCCACACCTAAACAGGGATGTTTAGAACAGACCAAATCCCCCTGAGGAAGATTCATTTAACTGTTGCTCTGTGTTAAACGTGGCATGCTTGTTTTCTACCTGCATCAGCTCAATATGCCAGCAGCCAAGGTGTAGCTGTGTATGATGCCTGCTGCTCTTCCAGGCTCTGGAGGAGCCTGCGGTGACCGCTAGCAGGTCCCTTGCATGAGGCATTGCTATGGGAAGGAGTGTTCCCTGAGAGCCGTGCACTGAAGACCCCTAGAAGAAAAGACTGGTTAGTTCTTCTGCAGAAGATGACAAAATAATAAACCCCATTTTTTTTCCCCCATAGTGTTAAAGTAAAAACAGAATCTCAAGACCCTTCTTCTTCATGGAGGTCGCTTATTCCAGTCATTAAAGTCAATGTGAGCACGGTAAGTGAAAAGACCTTGAAAGTGAAAATATTTAGCAGTATATGCTTAAAAATCAGCCTTGCTGTTTATTTTTCTTACACATTCTTTTTGAGTTTTTGTTCTTCAAGCTTTAAAAAAGTTTTAAAATTATACCACCAGCACTCCCCTGACACAGTCACAAATCTGGGTGGTGCTGATGGAAACATGGTTATGTTCGCTGTTTTGGGAAATACTTGTGCCTTAGACTTGTAATGATTTGAAGAATAATAACAAGTAATTAAACCAGGTAATGGGTGTTGTACAATTTGTGGTATGTTGGGTTTTTGGGAGGTGTTGGGGTTTGTTTTTTTCCTTCTTTTTTTCTTTTCTTCCCTGCATCTTTTGATAGGGATATTTGGATATGTTCCTTAAAAGTTGATGTTGCCTCTCCCCAGAAAAAACAAACCAGGAAAACTGGAAGAGATAGAATAATGAGAGTTTGATGTACAAGGTAGTATTTTTAGATAGGCACAGATTATGGCCAGGATTTTTGTCCATGGTCTTTATGTGCATATTGCTGGTTAAACTGCATTGTCATAGTTAAATATATATAAAGAGCAGTGTGTCATGAGCAATTGGGTTTTCTTTTTGATTTAGGGTCGCTTGGCATTTGGGAATCATTATCAGCCACAAACACTTTGTATTAACTTTGATGATGCTTTTTTGACATATACCACAAAACCACCTTCGAGCCACCTTGATCAGTTTATGCACATTGTGAAAGGAAAATTGGAAAATGTTAGAGTGATGCTGGTTCCAAGTCCAAGATATGTTGGTCTTCAAAACGATGAGTAAGTTTTGCAGGTTTTTTTTTTTTGTTGTTTCCATGTTATTTTAAGAAGGTTTTTTTTGTTGTTTCCATGTTATTTTAAGAAAATGAAGAAAATGTTGATTGTCTTTCTATGACTTTATTTTTCTTAGACAGTTAGCAGTTTTACCTCTCTGGTTTTAAATGTTGAATCTTTGAAACTGTATTTTTTTTATGGAGAAAAGTCCTGGTTTTCTGTCTCATTGTAGATTTTTTTTTTTTTTTTATGTTCTGCTCTATGCATTCAACTTTTATTTTCCTTCAGTCAGGTGCTATAATCTGTACTCGGGCTTTGACAGCACTTGATTTCTAGGATAAAGGTGTTGACTTCTATAGAGCTGATTCACACATGGTTTGGAAAATATTTAAAAAAAAATGAGCAAAAGCTGCTCAAGACTTGCCATAGTAGAAATCACGTTATCTTTTGAAGACAGGTTGCTGATCCTTTTACCTCTGTGTATTCAGCATAAGCGGGGTTATGCAGCTTTAAGAAACTGAATGATAATTAGTCAGAGAAAAGGTGCTTGCATTAAATGATTTGGCACTAGATTCTCGTTTTATTACACTTTAACCAGCAACACCTTTATGTGCATGCTATATTAACATTCTTGATTGATGTGGTATGAACATCACGGCCAGAATTTTCTGCATTATCTTATTTAATGCTTAAAATGTTATGTATTCAACAGATAATTTGGACGAAACTGGTGAATTTCAGTCTTTCACAGGCATTATTTGCTCAACAAAAAGAATAAATAATGTATACTGTCCTTGGACAATCGTGTGTATGAGTTTAGGTAAAGTGACGATACCTATTTTATATTTCCTAAGCAACAATACCCAGAGAGTGAATTATGATGATTGGAAATAAACTGTACATCCTTTGACCGTACCTTAATTGCCTTTGTATCAGCCAAGTACTTCTGTCTATAATATGCTTTTATACGTTTTCAAATAACATTCTGGGGATGTGTACAGAATCTTACTCTACCAACATGACGACAAAGGAAATTTCTCCAATTAATATTGAAAACAAATTAGATTGTAAGAAAATAGGATTAAGATACTCAAACTATTATCTTTTTTTCCTGCTTCCGCTAAGTATTTTCTTTTTGGGCTATTACCATCCCTACAGCTCCTGATAGCTGAACGATGGCATGTGTGCAGAAAACATGTGCCCTAATTTACTGGGTGGATGCAACAAATGACCCAGTTCACTGGAAACTGGGAATGTTTGAATCTTTAGAGCCTGCCTTCTTATGCTTCTTTGGCTTAAAAATTAAGCTGAGTGTCTTAGCTTTCAGAAATTCCTGCAGGCAGTGCAGGTACAGAAAACAGCTAAGTGATGATGAAATTTGTAACAGACTGACTAATCAATGCAAGCACCAAAAACCCACCTTGAAAACTGTCGTATTATATTACAAACAGACATCTCAACGCCTCCATCACTTTTTGCAAATAAATCCTCCAAAACCCAAGGAAAAAAAATGGGGAAAATTGTTGTTGGGAAAAACAGATCAAAGCAGAACAAGTTTGGGGAGCAGTGATGTAAGTCTGCAGGCTCAAAGTGGAAGTTTAGGATAGATATTAGCAAATACTTTTTAATGATGATGATCTCATTATCGTTAGTTGCTATTTGTTTTTGCAAATGGCCTGTGGTGGGGTTTCTAGGGTTCTACCACCTCCATCAGCTGAGCCCAGCAAGGTGTAACTATTAAAAAAGAGGGTGGGTTAGGCCTCATTAGGTACCTTCCTCTCCATTTTCTGCGGGGGGTAGTTTCACGTGCACTTCAAGCTGGGAATACAACAGTACTGTTGGCTTTTTTGCATGGCTGCGCAGTGAACACTGATCATGGAATTCATCCCTATTAAGAAAAATGCCTGTTGGTCTTAAATCTAAATCAGTTCTGCTTCTGGGTTCACCACCTGTCGGTTATCTCCTAGCCTATGACCATCCTAGGCCTGGCGTGAGGAAAGGTGCTGCTTTTCTTGGCTGCTGTGTTTGCTATGGCCTGTGATGCCTTGATAATGTAAAACTGTAAGTTGCTTCAGTCATCTAGTGTATATTTTCATGTTCTCCTTAAAAAGAGAATCCAAAAAATGAGTGACAGGACATGAAAATACAGAAGAGAACTTTCCTCTTTGTGGAAAAAAACCCTCACTGAACAGGCAAAAAGTTTTCTACAAGTCTAGTGAGTTCAGAGAGATCAGAACAAAAGCAAGAAAGAGAAGGGTTTAATGGGCTATGCAGACATGGTAAAGATGTACACTAAAAGAACTGGAGGAAAGGGGCTGAGCAAGACGTTTAGCTTTTGGGGATTTCGGTGGTGTGGTTTGTTGTTTTTTTTTTCCTCCCTCTCCACTTCCATTTAGTGTAAGACCTCATAGCTTTCCTCCAGAAAGTGAGTATGGCAAAGGTGATGAGGATGACACGGCAGTGGGTGTTTGACAGGAGGATCTGGCCATTCTGTCATCTCCTAAAGCTTTCCTGTAGGTATTGCTTTCCTAGAGCTAAATGACAGTTTCTGTTAGGCCATGGAGTTAAGTCAAATTGTCCATCTTGAAGAAGACTTAGCTCAAAACCTCTTTGTAATTGTATTTATTTGTTCATTATTCTAAGTTGGTATAAGTAAACACTATCAGGAAGGCAGAAGTAAACAATCGTTAAGTCTGCCCTATGTATTCATACTCTACAGTAATTTTTATTAACACAGTAATGTAGCTTCTCCAGTGTGTTTCTACAGGCTTAGGTAAATCTGTAGATAGTGTTTTTTGACCTGTGTACTCCATGCTGTGAGAGAGGGGAAAGTGCTTCATGTAAAATGGCTATAGTATTCTGTATTTTGTGGAATAAATCACATGTCAGACTGAGCAGCAGGGATTTAGTGCAGTTTGCCATCATAGACAGGCCAGCTCGCACTGTGGCTGGCTGACCTTCGTGGTGAAATGCTGAGCTGCTGAAATGAGATGCAGCCTTCGCCTGACGACGTGCCCCAGCGAGGGTATGGTCAGGCAGCGGCAGGTGGTTGTGTCAGCCGAAGGTGTTGCTGTCAGCCTCCTGAGTTTTGCAGCTGGTGATCTTGTGAGCTTCCCCTCTCTTGCTTCACAAAGCACAGTGGCTTCCTTTGAGCCTC